TGCCGAGGCCCCCACATCCGCAGTGCTGGGAGACAGTTGGGCCAGCGAGATCCCCAACCCTGAGCTTCTCCTCCCGCTCCCCCCCTTTGCCTCCCCCTGCCAGCTCCCTCCTCCCAGGTTTCCCTCTCTCCTCTCCCACTCTCCCTCCCTCCTCCCCTCTCCCACCTTCTTTCCCCAGTCTCACCTCAGTTTCATTCCCCCCCACCATCCCTGTTTTGTTCAATAAAGAGGGTTTGTTATAATGAACACGTGTCTTTTATTGTACAGCAGGAAGGGGGGTTAGGAAGGGGTAAGCAGAAGAATGTGAGGGAGCAATGAGGCACAAGCCCCCAGTGGGGCACACCAGGGAGATTGTTACTACCTGCAGAACGTGCTGCTAGGCTCAGCAGCACCTCCAGGAGAAGCAGCAGAGTGCCCAGGGGCGGCTCCAGCTCCATGTTGCAGAGTGCTGTGGTGTCCTGAGTGAGGGCAATCAGAGCATGCAGAGAAAAAAAAATGCTTTGCTGTCCCTCAGTGAGGTAGACAAGCAAGCAGAGAAACCTTAAACTGGCTGTCCGGGTGGTCCCTTTAAGCACATGTCTCAGATAGCCTCAGGCAGCAGCCACACAAGGTAACTCCTGACCTGATGCCCTGCCAGAACTGGTTCCGGCCAGCCTTAAATGTGATTCAGTGTCCTATCAGTGTGGACACGCTATTTTGAAATAGAAACATGCTATTTCAAAATGCATTTTATGTCTAGACGTGTTATTTCGAAATAATGCTATAGTGCAGACATACCCTAAGGGAGTTTGGGTTCAGGGAGCTCAGTGCTAGGGCAGGGGCTTGGGATGTAAGGGGGGGGGGGGTCATGACTAGGGCAGGGGTTGGAGCTGGATCCAGCTGGGCACTATTATTTCAGGTGGCTCCTGGGTGGTGGTGCACTGGAGCTAAGGCAGGCTCACCCCTGCCCTGGCCCTGCACCACTCCCAAAAGCAGCCAGCAAACTCCTTCCCAAGTCCTGTTATGCCCCCATCTGTTCTGTGGAGATAGAATACAAGGTGGGAGGGGGCACCCTGACATCAGCGCTCCGTCCTCTCCCTTCCCTATTCCGCACAGAAAGCAGAAGGCTCCGGGGAAGGGAGGAGGCAGCTCCAAGGCATAGGGCAGGAGATGCACAGCAGTAGGGGGAAGGGGCAGCTGACATGCCAGCACTTGACAGTCTCTTGGCCAAACCAGTCAGGATCATGTCAGAGGCTCCACGATCTACCAGTAGATCCCGATATACTGGTTGATGACCACTGCTCTAGAGAGCCATTGCAACACAAATAACTACCAATATGTAATATATGGTCATCTGTTTATTTCTTAAAACTTATTATTTCATTAGCTTTACTCAGTATAATTTATAAATTTAAATTGTTACATTGTTTAAACATTGGAAGCTGATGGACTTTTTTCATATTTTGGAAATCAGCCAAACAGCTAAATTAATCAATTATGAAATTAAGTGGTTGAGCCTATGATGTATATAATTTCTTCCTCTGTCTATGGTTACATTCTATATTGTTAATTTATGCATTTAAAAAGAAACACAAAGGCACTAACAAAAGAACACTTGACTCTCAGGGGGCCATTAATGTGCCAGTGAGAGCTAGATACAGAATGCCACTCATATTCAAGACATGGTATGTTCACCATTCAGTAGACTGGTTTCTGAAACTTAATAGTATTTCCACCCATTTGTAACATACCAGTTTAAAATCATTGTAAATACAGGCAGTCCCCGAGTTACGCGGATCCGACTTACGTCGGATCCGCAGTTACGAACGGGACACTTCCTCTCCCTGGTCTCGAGCAGACCAGGGAGAGGAAGCAAAGCAGCGGCGGAACGCGGGGCCAGCTGACAGCCCAGAAGCGTCTGGGCTGTCAGCTGGCTGCGCGTTCCGCCGCTCTGCTCTGCTCCGCTCTGCTCCCCCTCCCCCTTTGCTTCCTCTCCCTGGTCTGCTCGAGACCAGGGAGAGGAAGTGCCCCGTTCGTAACTGCGGATCCGACATAAGTCGGATCCGCGTAACTCGGGGACTGCCTGTAATAATAAATTATCTGTAGTAGCCTTTGGAAGTTCTAAATGTACTGAAAAACTTAAACAACAAATAGTCTCATAGAACTTTAAAGACTAGTAAAACAATAGATGATATCAAGAGCTTTCGTGGGCACAACCCACTTATTCAGATAACCGGAGTGCAAGCTCAGGATACCATCTACATGTTTTGTCAGTCTTTAAAGTGCTACTAGACTATTTGTTGTTTTTTAAGTTTTTCCTGTTACAGACTAACTTGGCTCTCTCTCTGAAGTAAGTGTATTGAATTTATGTTTCACTGTGGGCCAGGTATGCAGTTCTGTGAGGGAGGGTGCTTGAAGAGCTAAGAACAGTGAGGATCTGATTAGACAAATTCACTTAAATTGGAAGACCTCCAGAGAAATCTCACCACCAGAGGCTCGCATACACTAGCTAAAACTGGATTTTTTCAGAGACTAACAGGCAAAGAAAGGACTTTTGCATAAATAGGTAGATTTTAAACTGATGCACAGCTTTCTTTCTGATTCAGCAAACCAGCAGGACATTTCATCCAACTGAGACACAACAATTCCTCTTGGGAAAGATTAAGACTTTTGCCTACTGAGGAGCCAATAGACTGATGGATGCCTTCTGGTGAGCATTGAGCATGTGTGCATGATTTTTTTTTTTTTAAGAAAAATATTTTTCTTGGAATGCTTCCATTTTAAGAATAAATATGCTTGCCTATAAAGGGCTGGCTTATCTGCTGGTAATTACACTTTTATAAGCCTCTGAAGTGAAAGCAAACCACAGACTTTGATCTGTTTAGGCTGTACTATACAGGCAGGGAATTATGCAAAAATCCACATCAGAGGGGCAAGTCACAGGTCTCTACCCCAGAGTGGTGACTCAGCAGCAGCTGACTTGGGGATGCCTGGGGTTCTTAAGTTGAATCTGTATGTAAGTCAGAACTGGCGTCCAGATTCAGCCACTGTTGAAACTGATCAGTTTCAGCAGCAGCTGAATCTGGACGCCAGTTCCGACTTACATACAGATTCAACTTAAGAACAAACCTACAGTCCCTATCTTGTACGTAACCCGGGGACTGCCTGTAGAGTGTGCTAGAATGCAAGTGCAAGCCTTGCTAGCTGAATGGCTGTTCATCAAATTACTACAGTCTAAACCTCTAAAATCCAGGACTCTCTGTTCCAGCTACATCCAGCAGGACCACAAATACTGCTGGCCAGGTTCAGAAGTATAGCCTGGGCTGGGCTGGCGGTGGGGAGCCCAGCTCCAGTGGGACCAGTGTGGTAGAGAGCACATCCCTGCCCAGGACTAGTGGCAACGAGCGCAGTGAGGAGCACAGCCTCGGCTGCGGCTGGCAGTGGTAATGTAGCCCTGGGAAAGGCTGGAGTCAACTAAGCATGCAACCAGGACTGGTGCCATGGGGATGGCGGCACAGCCCCGGCCAGGCCTAGTGTAAATACATCTCGTTAATCTCTGTATTAATCATTTTCACATTTAATTTTTTTTTTTTACTTTATATCAAGTCCTTTTAGCATTGTAATAAGTCTTTAGCTTTGTTGTATTGGGTCCTTCTATACAGAAACTTTGTATGCTTTCATGTGGAGCACAGAAACTTTGTATTAAGTCTTTTTACATAGAAACCTTGTATCTTGTAGACTTTTTACTCCTATTTGCTTGGTTGATTGTCCTGTTTGGGAGAATGAGGTGTGAATGGATGTGGCATGAAGGACAAGCACCTCTGGGCACTTGCAAAGGTTGGAGAGGGGTGGAACCTAGATCCAAGAACAATGGGACCTATAAAGTGGGCTCATTGAAAGAAGACTGGACATATGGACACCCTGGGAGTCAGAAGCAAGTGCCTGCTTTTGGAAGCACCCTCTTTGAAGGGGAATGTGGCAGCAGTGAGTCACCACCCAAAGGAAGGTGCCATAGATGTCTAACTGCATATGCACATGACGACTCTCACAGGTGATGCATATGCATGTGATGACTAACTGGTAGAGATCTGCAGGAGAGGAAAGACACTATACAGCTAAGGCATCATGCAGAGGGACCCTGGGTTTTCGTCTTGTCAACATAGAAGCACTGATCCGGATTGGCAGAAGCCCGGTTCCACCCCATCCCCCACCTAACTCACCTGGCCAGTGCAGTTAGGGGAGCAACTACTGGTAACTACAACAAGATGGGGTGTGGGTTTGTTATGCATCATATGCAGGGCTCGACTAATAACACAATCTACTCGCCAGTGGCGAGTAGATTGTAACCCAAAAGAGCTGGGTTCGGGCGATCTGCGCATGCACAGATCACTGGACAGTGCGGCGCGAGCCCTGATCATATGCATATGATAAGTGTTGATTGCTATATGTGTGTATTACCAATAAATGTGGCATTTTTGCCCCTGAAAATATTCCATGCAACACTTTTAAATACAACACTGGTCCCTGTCCAGGACTGACGTGGTGGGGGGGACATAGCCCTGGCCAGGTGTTCCTGGTGAGGGGGCTGAAGGCTGTGCCAGGGAGCACAGCCCCACCCAGCAGCAGAGCCTACAGCAGGATAGGTAGCCTTGTCCTCCCCTTGTCTGGCAAACTCCACTGTTTGAGACGACTTAGGTCCTGAGAGTGACAAGGGAGGACAAGGGAGGTCCAACCTGTACCTATCTGCTAGGTTTCCAGGAGAATTTGCTTGTGAAGGCACCATGATTCAACAAAATACATATGTAGCTAAATTTAAGCATACAATTTCAGTGGAACTATTTGTGCACTTTAAATAGCCATAGGTGGAATTGAAGCCTACAACATGGAATGAAGAAGGATATTTTCTGGGCAACTGCACCCTAAAATACTGTGCAGATATTACCCCTGGTTCACTACTTTAAAAATTAGAGGAAAATTATCTGCATACTTTCCCAGTGACAGTTTCTAAAACTTTATGGAGAGAGGCAGAGTGCAGTGATTGGATTCCATTGAAGTTCATGCAGCCAGAATAAAAAACTGTTTCTCCTGCACAGTGAATAGAAATGAGACTCTTCGCATACTAGCTTCCTGCCGCCATTTCTCTAGAGATTCTCAGCACAGAAGGTAACGTATGGGTAATGCTTGACAGTTCACACAGAGGGCCAAAAAGCACTGTTGCTAACAGGGTTAGCCTGCATTCCCCCTCTGCATGCTACTGGGCTTGAATCTACCAAGTGAATTTGACTTGCACCCTACCCCATCTGACTTGCACCCTACCCCATTTTCAACTTCTGCAAGAATAAAGTATGAATGCTGTCCCAGTGTTTCATTCCTTACCGTTCTCCTCATGGCAGTATTCCTGTCCTGCAATGCTGCATCTACGGAAAACCATTTTGTTCTCAGTGAGGGTTCCGGTCTTGTCAGAAAAGATGTACTGGATCTGCCCTAGATCTTCAGCAATATTCAGCGTTCGACACTGAATAGTGGAATCAGTTTTCTCATGGTACAAGTCGATATCATTCTGAATTAAATAGATTTGTCCCAATTTGACAACTTCGATTGAAACATAGAGAGAAATCGGGATCAAGACCTGACAAAATAAAATTAATGGATTACATGAACCTACATATTGTGATGATTATGAAACCAAATTTTGCTCCAGTTACATCAGTGTAAATAAAGTAACTCCACTGAAGTCAAAAGGGAAAATCAGAGCAAAATCTGGCCCAGGATGTTTCAAGTAGATTGACGTTACCTGTAATAAAATGATCATTGTCCAAAACATATAAAACCCTGCTAACACTGGCGGAGTAGATTTTCCATCTGGCTCAGGGGTGTTAAAAGGTGTAAGATCCGAATAGCTACTTAACCAAATTCCATGACCTTAAAAAAGGGAGAGAGAGAGAAAACCATTGACAATGAAAAAAGAGTGAGTTATCATACATGGGACAATAGTTCAGTGCCAACCTGAACAGCCACTGGAACAGCTTTAAAGCCTGATACAAACTAGACTTTAGCTTTTTGGTTTTTCTTGAGAAAGGGTCCATCAAAACAAAATGCTCCTCCCACTTTGCTTATTCTAATTCATGAATGAAGGTCACCAGGGGACTAGGATGTTAAATATCGATTAATTAACTAATCGAATAGCCAATGGGATTTCCATCCCCGGTGGGGGTTCTTGAACATGTCAAAGATTGAAATGCCGTGTGGAGCCTGGGGTCAGCAGGCTGGCCCCGGGTTCCACGCCACGTTTCAATCTTTGAAATGTATGACAGTCCCCACTGGGGCTACTGTACATTTCAAAGAGAAAGGGGTGGCACTGCGCCTCTGTCCCATCCCACGGAGCTGGAGAGAACCAGCTTTTAATCCAGCTCCCCCCAGGACCCTCTCCTCTTCCCCCCCTTGCTGTCTCTGCAAAAGAAGCAGCAAGGGGAAGAAAAGCAACTAGTCAACTAATGTGTCCACTATTCGATAAGCTTTTGCTTATCGCATAGGCAATTAGTTGCTTACATCCCCACATGGGACTGCATGAAGAATAGATATATATAGCATTTTAGTTATTTATTTCATTACTCATCCACAAGACAATGGGAATGTGAGAAAGATACAGTTGATAGAAGCTTCAAAGGATTTTTCTTTTATTTCTGGAACATCCCAACAATGAAGGGCCTCCGGGTAGCTTGTTTGAGTAACACCCCAAGCCTGTGAGCCATGACTCATTCAGGCATATTAATGGGCACCAAATAGGTCCTGCCTAAGTTACAAAACTGGCTGTTAGAAAACTATTCTAAAAATCCAAACTTAAGAACTATTTCAGCTAATATGCTTGTACCCCCAACGTACTACGTGAAGAGGTTTCCGTAAAATGTTAATAAACTTACTTATTCTGATTATAAAATGTGCCCTTCCAGGCAGCTGAGTACAAGTACTAAATTTAACCAATGTCCAAAACATAAAACCCTCCAAAACCCATGCAAACTTACACTCTCCAGCCAATACCATACCGTCAGCCCTTTTTTTCCCCCAGAGAACTCGGAGAAAATATGAGTTTTGCAGACTACCAGTACAATCAACTGAAGACGAGCTGGGGAAGCTTGTTCCCAAGGTAAAACCTTTCACTGAGTCTACACCAACACTACATGTCCATTCAATCTACGCAGTTCAAGCTACGTGAAAAACATAGTTGGAGTCAAAGTACCAATGTAATATAGCTGGAGTGAAATCTGAGGAACTGTCCTGGATTGAAGTGTCATTAGAGGAGGTTTTGGAACAAAGAGAAAAACTTAATGTGAACAAATCATTAGGACTGGATGGCATTCACCCAAGGGTTCTAAAAGAACTCAAATGGGAAACTGCAGAACTGTTAACTATGGTTTGTAATCTATCCCTTAAATCGGCTTCTGTACCTACTGACTGGAAGATAGCTAATGTGACACCAATATTTAAAAAGGGCTCTAGAGGTGATCCCGGCAATTACAGACCAGTAAGTCTAATGTTGGTACCGGGCAAATTAGTCGAAACAATAGTTAAGAATAAAATTGTTAGGCACGTAGAAGAACATAATTTGTTGGTCAAAAGTCAACATGGATTCTGTAAAGGGAAATCATGTCTTACTAATCTATTAGAGTTCTTTGAAGGGGTTAACAAACATGTGGACAAGGGGGATCCAGTAGATATAGTATACTTAGATTTTCAGAAAGCCTTTGACAAAATCCCTCACCAAAGGCTCTTGTGTAAATTACATTGTCATAGGATAAGAGGAAACGTCCTTTCATGGATTGAGAACTGGTTAAAAGACAGGCAACAATGGGTAGGAATAAATGGGAAATTTTCAGAATGGAGCGGGGTAACTACTGGTGTCCCCCAAGGGTGAGTCCTAGGACCAATCCTATTCAACTTATTCATAAATGATCTACAGAAAGGAGCAAGCAGTGAGGTAGTAAAGTTTGCGGATGATACTAGACTGTTTAGGATAGTCAAGACAGAAGCAGACTGTGAAGAACTTCAAAAAAAGATCTCACAAAACTGAGTGATTGGGCAACAAAATGGCAAATGAAGTTTAATGTGGAGAAGTGTAAAGTAATGCACATTGGAAAAAATAACCCCAACTATACGTATAATATGATGGGAGCTAATTTGGCTACGACAAATCAGGAAAGAGATCTTAGAGTTATCGTGGATAGTTCTCTGAAAATGTCCACACATTGTGCTGCGGTGGTCAAAAAGGAAAATAGGATGTTAGGAATTATTAAGAAAGGGATAGAAAATAAGACACAGAATATCTTACTGTCCCTGTATAAAACTATGGTTCACCCACATCTTGAATACTGTGTACAGATGTGGTCTCCTCACCTCAAAAAAGATATTTTGGCCTTGGAAAGGGTTCAGAAAAGGACAACTAAAATGATCAGGGGTTTGGAACAGGTCCCTATATGAAGAGAGGCTAAAGCGACTGGGACTTTTCAGTTTGGAAAAGAGGAGACTGAGGGGGGATAGGATAGAGGTATATAAAATTATGAGTGGTGTGAAGAGGGTAAATAAAGAAAAGTTATTCATTAGTTCCCATAATATAAGGACTAGAGGACACCAAATGAAATTAATGGGTAGCAGGTTTAAAACTAATAAGCAAAAGTTCTTCTTCACACAGCGCATAGACAACCTGTAGAACTCCTTGCCAGAGGAGGCTGTGAAGGCTAGGACTATAACAGAGTTTAAAGAGAAGCTAGATAAATTAATGGAGGTTAGGTCCATAAAAGGCTACTAGCCAGGGGGTAGGAATGGTGTCCCTGGCCTCTGTTTGTCAGCGGCTGGAGACAGATGGCATGAGACAAATCGCTTGATCATTGTCTTTGGTCCACCCCTCCGAGGCACCTGGTGCTGGCCACTGTCGGCAGACAGGCTACTGGGCTAGATGGACCTTTGGTCTGACCCAGTACAGCCATTCTTATGTTCTTAATGTAGGCTCTATACCGCAAGGGCAGGGATGCACAATGGGAGAAACTCTCCCATCGACTTCCCTTACTTTTCTCATCTGGGGTAGAGTAACTAGAGCCCCTAAAACGACCACCAGTATATCAATCTCAGAACATTGATCCCAGCTGTAGTGTAGATGTAACCTAACAATATCCTCCCCCAGACTCCTCTGAATTGACTGTGAACTGAAGCACTGTGTGCAGCTCAGTTGCTGAAATATTAGACAAGAAGAATAATAGGTTTTTGAGGAACTTGGAACTGAAGCTATTTGTGACACCACTTTAAATTGCACCCAGAAATGCTCTGGGTAACCAATAATGCTCTGGATTGTACCTTTGTCCATACAGGCAGTGTAACTGTGGGAATTAAAACAATTTTTAAGATTTCCTGAAAATGGTGACATGTTTCACATCACTGATAAGCCTCAGTCTTCAACTGTCAGTGCCTAGCCCTACTAGGTATATGAGAAATTTAGCTATTTAATATCAAGTTATTCCAGCTTCCTTCTTAACTCCTCAAACAGTGAGACTATTAATTATTCCTCTATCCCACCAGACTGACAGCCCCAAAAATAAAGCACTAAAAAGCTTGCAGTGAAAAGGCACAGAGGAGACACAAAACAAAGTACTACTTTGCAGATCCTTATTTACACTTTACTTACCCAAAGCACCAATTAAACACATTAAAATCAGAAGCAAAACACACCAAAGGACATCAATGTTTGCTCTCTTTTCCAATTTACTGCGTTTATAACGAGGACCGTTGTTATTCAGCATTGCTTTGGTTTCATGACCTGAAACACACAACCATTTTATTTTCTCCTCTGGCAGATATTTAAATCAAAATTCAGATACCATCCTGAAGACTGAGAAAATTGGATATATGGTTTAATTAGTATTTGGACAGAGGTTCTAAATTTAAGAGAAACAATTAATTGCCAACAATGTATCTATTAATTCTGTTCTAAGAAGAAAATTTCTGATTTGTTTAACCCCAAAGAAGTTGAAAAGAAGTTGCACTTCAAGGTGGGTTATTATTTTCTAAATATGAATGATAGTGCTTGCTAATGGGGCTAGATTAATTGCTCTGGAGACTTGTCTTCTGACCAAGAATACACACAGGACAGACAACAACACAGCCTTGACCTCTTCTAGGAACTTCAGTCTCCATATCTATCCCATTATTTGGGCTCTATTTTGTGGCAATTAATAATCAGCGCTAATTGTGGTGGGGGAGAGGTGGGAATGCGGAGATTGGTCCACATAGAACTGAACTGAGACCACCAATCTGTGCTCAGAGCATAGAGCTCCAAAACAGAAACCAATTTATTTCATATAGCTCACTGAACAGCCATTAGCAAAACTTCCAGCTGGTGCTCACCTGTTCTGGACTGAAAATGGCAATTTCCCATTTAGCAGTGCCCTGAACCATACTGTTTCTCAAAGCAGGTCAATAAAAAAAATTAAAAGAAAATCTCAAAGAACTCATATTTAAATGAAATTAGTGCAAACCCCCTGGTTCCACTAACCTGCATACACCACAATGCCCACAACGGCTTCTGTGTTTCTGATTGTGCATCCTCGTAACAGCAAATTCTCTCTACTCAGGCCCACTCGCTCCTTGTTTGAATGTTCCCTGCAAACACAGTCTATTACTTAACAGGTGTGAAAGAGCCTCCCTAAGCATCAATAGCACCAAGCCCAGAAAGCATCCTGGGACACATTTTCACCCAATAAATCCCATTATGACACTTAGAACTAGATTTTCAATAAAACTCAGTACCAAACTTAATGATACCTTTTGAAAATCTGACCATGATTGCTCTCTTGTTTTATACTGAGACTTCATGGGTTTACAAGCCAAATGTTTATCAGCTGGAATCCTATATAAGGGCAACATTGCTACAGCTATCTCAGGATCAACATTAAGGCCAGGTCTATACTGAAACAGAAAATTGATGTAAGATACTCAATTCCAGCTATAACAGCTGCGTAGCTGAAGTTGACATCGATTACATTGATTTTCTGGGGCAGCCCCACAGCAGGAGGCCGATGGGAGAAACTCTCCTGTTGGCTTCCCTTACTCCTAAGAGAAGTACCACGGTCAATAGGGACGCCCTCAACATTTGATTTAGTGGGTCTTTACTGGACCTGCTAAATTGCACCCTGGAAGATTGATCGCCAGAGCATCGATCCTCTGGTAAGTATAGACAAACCCTAAGAATGGAAAGCAGAGTCTTAAACGTAGCTCCTCCCCATGATAACTTATGGTCTCAGCTGCACTTATACCTTAATCAAACCCATGATGGGGAACCAGAGTACATACTTGTTAAAACATGATTTAGTTGGGGGTTGATCCTGCTTTATCCAACTCCCTGCATTAGATGACCTTCTGAAGTCTCTTCCTACTCTAATCTTCTATGATTCAACCTTATAGTGCAGAAATGACCTAGCCATACAATAGCAGAGTCCCCTAAAATATTCTACAGCCTCGTTCTATCCTAGGTTGTCACACAGACCAGAGGCATGGCTAATTACAGAGTTAGGACACACCAATACTAGAAGATCGAATGTTGTTTTAACTGTGTTGTAAACAAGTTAACTACAACATACATAGTCTATGGTTTTCAAGATGACCATAGATTAACTAAGTCTTCATAATTTTTCCCCTTTCTCCCATTTATAAATTCGTATTATCCATGCTATAGCGGGCAGAGAAGGGCAATGTAGAGCCAAAGAGCTTCAAAATTAAAACATAAATATTGTTCATTAAAAATAGGTTGCAGCTTAAATAGTGTTCTTCACACAAATGTCATAAACTTTTTACAAAGGACATTTTACAGATGGAAAAACTGAATCCCAGGGAAGATAGGCAAGTTATGCAAGGTTCACATGGTGAGCCAGAGGCAGAAACAGTCTAAGTCCACACTACAGAGTTTTGCTGGCCAGGACATGTTGGTTAGAAGCATAAAGGAAAACAAACAAACAAACAAAATCATACTCCTAACCAATTTAGCTAGGCTGACAACACTCCTCTAAGCAGATGCTGTTTACAACCACAACAGAGATTTTTTTTGCTAGCACAGTATATGTCTTTTCAGGAGTTGGTTTTAGTGTACTAACACAAAACTCTATTTGCTGGTATAAGTTGTGTTTCCACTTGAGGGCTTTAATTGGCAAAATCTTTGTAGTGTAGTCTAACCCCAGCAATAGAATCTAGACCTTTTTGTTCCCAGTTCTGGTCTTTTAATCATTAATCAGTATTGTCTCCCTATTTATAAAGACCGAAGTCCAGAACGAGTGAGTATTAGGGAAAGCATTATTGCAGACATCACAAACTATTAGAAACTGACATTGGAGACATTTTGAATAAAGAAGGCACCAATGTAAATTACAGTATAAACTAAAACAAAAAACAGGACTGTGTAGCACTTTAAAGACTAACAAGATGGTTTAATAGGTGATGAGCTTTTGTGGGCCAGACCCACTTCCTCAGATCAAATAGTGGAAGAAAATTGTCACAACCCAATTTTCTTCCACTATTTGATCTAAGGAAGTGGGTCTGGCCCATGAAAGCTCATCATCTAATAAACCATCTTGTTAGCCTTAAAGTGCTACACAGTCCTGTTTTTTGTTTCAGCTGCAGCAGACTAACACAGCTACATTTTTACCAATATAAACTAAGTACTTCAAAAATTTCTTAGTAACAAAAAGCTTCTGCCATTCCCAAGAAATCATCTGTACAGAAAGCATTTGGGGAGCTCCGTGTCTTCTTAACCACATACAAGGATTTAATGGTGAAATTATAATCAGGCAATGTAATTTAAATAGAAGGTGTTTTAATAAGTAAGCATTACCACAACAAATGGGAAATTTCCTCAAGCCTACTTACACAAAGCCCCGGAATCGACTGAGGTCATTGTTCGGACTTTCACATTCTATTCTACTTGAAAACTTCTCTGGATCAATTTCAGAGATCTATAGTTATAGAGAAGAACATAAAATTTAGAAAAAGATGTCGCTTACAAAAATTATGAATTCACAGTGGCAGTTTCAGACTTGGAAGTTTTTCACGCTAGCAAGTATTGCAATGAGGAACAAAAATCAGGTATTCCGATTGCAAGATAAATGGAGCAACTGCTTCACCAACATAAAGCCCTCAGATATATCAGATGACCCACTGATAATTGAGACACAATTAGGCTGTAGACGATGCTGACAGAATAGAAATCTTTCCAGTAAAACTTTGTAGTATAAATAAAGCCTAAGTGATAGAAAAACTATTACAATAAAGAACTACAAGTGAAGAATAAGCAAGAGCAGCTGAGCAATGCTACATACGTTACATACCTGCCTGGAGCAAGTGCCCTTCTTAAGAAAGACTGAAAGCTGACAAGCAGTATGGTAAAATGAAGGAGGTCTTATTTACAAGAGTACTTAGAACTAAAATTAATGGGATACATGATGATTCAATATCTTTGCAAATCTGGCCTGTGATATTGAAATAGAAGGATTTCTTAACAGAATGCTTTATAAGAAAATTCCTTGGTTGGTCAGCTGTTCTTTTTTTAATCAAAGTCCAACTCGTAGGTTTCATCTGAGTGTCTTCATAATTACGTTTCAACGAATCCTGAATTATCTCCCTAAGACTTTTCTTTCTATATCTGGCAGATCCAATCCTGAGGGTAAGATATAAAACCATAGGCAGAGTTTGGCATTTTATTATTTGCCCCTATTTTGCTAGCTGGCTGTTAATTTTGATATACTGATTTGTTGTCAGAGGTTCCTAAAGCCTCTGATAGTGCTTCTTGTCATTTTATAAATATAAATAAATACATAGGGCCTCTTTGGCTACTGCTCTTCTCCTTATTTATACAACATAAGGAGTTATTGAGAAGATCAGAGTTCTTCTGTTTAAAAGAGAGACAACTAAAGGGTGTCATATTATGGAGGTCTAAAAAATCATGAATGATGTGGAAAAAATGAACAAGAGTATTATTTACCATTTCACTCAATTAAAAAATGAATCACCAATGAAATTAATAGTCAGCAGATTTAATGCAAGTATGAAGAAGTACTATTTCACACAATGCACAAATTGCACTGGGATGTTTGGACAGTCAAAACTATAACTGGGTTAAAATACATAAACAAAAGAACTAGGTAAGTTCCAGGAGGATAGGTTCATGAATGGCTATTAGCCAAGATGGTCAGGGATGCAACCCCATGGATAGAGCAACTCTAAAACCTTTGTCTGCCAGAATCCGGGAATAGAAGACTGTGGTGTATCA